TTTAATAAGAAAATGACAGCAAATGAAATTTACAATTTAACAATGAAAATATTCATAGCAATTGACTTTTGTCATAGCTATATGTTTTCCCTAAATGATGGAATTGATTTAAAAAATATTTACAATATAGATGGAAAATATTTTGTTTCTTTTTCAAGAGCAAATTACCATTCAAATGATCATTGTAGTGAGGATATTTTAAAAGCTTCTTTGTCATTAAGAACTTTATTACAAAAGCAATTACATTGGAAAAATTATTAATTTTATGCTATTGACAATTCTTTAGAATAAACAAAGTTCTTTTTATTGTAAACATGTCTATTTTATGAAAAATTAGGGTTATATGGTCCGCTATCTATTAGGTACAAATAAAAAGTTTCAATCACTGTGCTGTAATTTTAAAATGGCTTAACTAATATCATTGATACTTTCCAATAATCTTAGGAAATTAGTAAACTTTCACTGTGCAAACTTTCATTTGATTCTGTTGAGGTATTACAAATTTATTTTGGTATAAGCAACTGCAAGTCATGTGCATATGTTCCGATCAATGACCAATCATAGCATTTTTAGTGCATGAGAAGGTGTCTGCGAGACAAATTTATAAGCTGTTAAAAAGCTTTTGCGGGGATGAAACTCTGAGTGAAAGCTCAATAAGGAGGTGGGTATCTGACATAAAAAAAGGAAGGAAAAATTTTGAAGATTTGGCAAGATCTGGTCATCCAAGCACAGCTGTAACAGGTCAGAATAGAGAAGAAATTGACAGGCTTATCAGAGAAGATTGGACCATTTCTCAGAGAGCAATCGCCCAACAAATAGACATTTGTCAACAGACTGTAGGGAAAATTATAAAGGAGCTAGGATACAGAAAGATCTATGCAAAATGGATTCCTTATGCTCTCAATCTGGTTCAGAAGCAGGTGAGGGTGAGTCATTGTATGGAGCTACTTGAAAGATACACAGCAGAAGGAAGAGACTTTTTAGAAAAAATTGTGACTGGAGATGAAACATGGGTACACCTCTATGATCCACAATCTAAAAGGTCTTCTTTGACTTATAAACACACATCATCACCACCTAACAAGAAGCTTAGAATGGCCAAGTCAGAACTATTTGGGTTTAGTCCACATTGAATTCATGGAGTATGGAGAAGTAGTCAGCTCAATACAATATTGTACTGCTTTGGTCTTGCCAATTTATGCGTTTGTAACTTATAACAGTACTGGTTCTACTCGAACCTTTAAACAAAGTGTTTAAATTTAAGTGGTTTATTGAAAATAATACTTAAGCAAGTAACAATATGAAAGTTGAATAGCAGAGTAAGTAGTGGGTAACAGTAGGTTGCCAAATTACCAAACTAGTGTCCAATGTTGAGGAAATAGCAGGATCCCAGTGGGTGTTGGTTCCAGTTCATCCTCCCAGGTTGAGGTTAGCCGATTGGAGTAAAGCAGTGAGGAGTTATATACTTGAAGATTATTGTCTAGCATCCAATCACCACTTTACAGCTGTGAACTCACCTAGTTCATGTTTGTCCTTAGAACAATATGTTACAAAGTTCCCCACTTGAGAAAGTTAATTAATCATAGTTTGGCCAAAACCTTAGACAAGCTGATCAATCATAATGTGGCCAAAACTTAAGTGGTACTTAGGATGAACCTTAAGTATGACCAAGAAGGTCTGTGTTAGGCCACATGTTATTGTATTTCCTTGCATCAGTTTCTAGTAAGTTATATATAATAGTAGTATAGAATAAGAATAGAATAGAATGAAAGTTGTACAACTTCCCCCTTCTTTGTGAAGATGAGTCTCTTCATCTTGGTTTGAGTAGGATCACAGGAGGTGGCTCCTGTTTCTCAGATTGATCTTTTCCTGGGCTTGGTGTTAGGAATGGGCTGCTCTGAGAAGTCATCTTCAATCTCATTTATGGTGTTTTCTACAGGCTTTTGCTTGTTTCTCACTCTACAATTGTGGATAATCATAACACCAATTATCAATACTAGGATACTCAAGCAAATATTTCATAAAGTGATGTAAAGTGTTTTTCCAGGCTGGTAATACCAATGATGAAAAAATTGTTTAATTCCAGATGGACCATGTACAATGCCATTTTCTTCTGCAATATGTACCATGCTATCATATCTAGCTTGATTTTGTTCCAGTGACTCAATTGCTTGCTGTATTTTTGAGTGTTGGTACCCAATATCTTTCTTTATCCCATGATGGAGTAGGTCAGCTAGCCTAGCAATTTCCAGCTCTGGTTCAGACAGTTGATTATTGATCTTTAGCTGCATTGATTTTGCAGATACAGTGTGAAATTTGCATCCTTTTTCAGAATAATAAACATACATTTTGTCTTTCATTGTTTGAGTTCTTACAGGGCTCAAAGGGTTATGAGTTGTTTTGTAGAAAAGCTTCTTTGTTTTGCAGTCATTATAGGTAATCTGTTCCAAATTAACTTGCCATAGAACATGAGTAACAGGTTCTACCTGAAAGAGAAGGTTATTCATTGCAACAATTAAGAATTGGGAACATTTGTTATCCTTCTTTATTATTGCTAAGTCACAAACTACTTCTGTGGAAGCTATTGGTGAACATTGCTTAACTATTGCTAGTTCTCCCATTTGACTGCTGTGCATACCCAACTGGTCTGTCAATACAGTGGTCAGCTGAGGGTCCAGGTTTGCAAGTAATGCAATCATTCTACTTCATTGTACAAATTGATTGCATAGTAGTCCTGATAATTGCTCAGTGAACTGTAGCAGAGGAGATGTTTGGGCAGCCTCTCTTATTTGTAGTGAGAATTTATATTTTTACTGCTTTTAACATTTCTTCAATATAGTAGTTATCTAACTCCCAATGTGATGGACTAATAGGTTGCTGCAAGTGATAGGTCACAATTTCTCTCAATTTACCCTTAGCTCTCATTAATTTATACTTTGTGTTAGTGTTTCTATACCATTCATTAAGGCTGGGTAAAAGATTGTTACGTTTATATAATGTGAGTTGTTCTTTTACTTTATTGGGATAGTTTAATAATCATTTTTCTTCAATTTCTCCAATCCTATGATAGTGTAATGCTTGGTATAGGTGTTCACTGGCTGTTTCCAATATCAGATTCCTTTCTTCTAATGGCACTAGTACTTTGGTTCCAGGGCCACCAATACTATCAATGAATTTGTCTTGGTAAGGGATGTCTAGAATAGAATACCCTGGGCAAGAATAGTGACCAGCAAATTTTATACAGCTAACTTGGTTACCAATTTCTTCCATGGTGATTGTTGTCCAATAGTGTAATTATTTTTAAGGTTTCTTAAGACAATAATAGCTTCTTCTGTTTCACAGTATGACTGCCCTGGTAGACAGTCTTCTAGGTAGTCAAGATTGGTAGTAATTTTCATATTTGGAGGTTGCCAATATGCTTTTCCAAACTGCATGATGGTGGTATATTCTAGGACTTCTGTAGTTGTTGGCCATGTATATGCTTCTGGGAATTTATCTCTGTAGATCCAAGTGTTGCTTCTAACAGTCAAGGCTTTTCCTTGGAAAGATTGTTTGTCTTTAACCATCTGTCTGCAATGTTCAGGTGTTAGTTTGATAATTGAATCAACAATTCTCCTCTTCTTTGCTCCAAAGAAATAATATATGTAAAAGTTAGTTCTTAGATACACTTTACATTTGACTGCCCTTGTTACAATTTCATGTAACTTCAATTCATAGATGTCAGCTGTTATTTTTTTTGTTTGCTGGCCTTCTATGCTACAAACAGGTTCCTCTGCTAGATCAAATGCCTGAGTAGGTAGTTGATTAGAACAGAAATATAAGGGTGGCTTAAATGTTAAAGTTATGTTTGCACTTGTAACAGCAGCACCTTGGTACAATGATTTTGGGACTGTGCTTGGACTACTGCAGTTGAAAATCATTATAAGTGTCAACCATAATGATAACCATGACATTGGTTTCCTGCTAGTTCTTCTTATATTGGTTCTTGTTTCACCATCAGAAGTTTCTTGTTTTGGTTCAACTGCTACAGTTATTCCATCTTCCAATTCTATGTACTGGGTCTTCATTTCCATTTCTTCAAGGCTACTTTCAATTGCATCTGTGACTGAATCTATAGTAATAATTGACTCACTATCTGAAATATTTGTAATTTCAGTCTCCTCTTCAGATGAATCAATAAGAATAATTGAGTCATTGTCAGAACTAGTCCAGATACTTAATTCTTCTTGCATTGAATTAGCAGCATGACTATCAGATTCTGGATTAAAATCCCATTCACTATTGCTTTCAGAAGAGGTTAGCAGTTGATTTGTCTCATAATTGCTAGTAATGTCATATCCATTATCAGGATTAATAATTTCTATATCTGTAAAAAAAACTGTAAAAATGATTAAATGGAATTTTTTTAAAAAATTCCATTTAATTTTCTTTTCATGGCAATATAATATATTTTTTCTGTTAATTATACTGATGGATTTTATCAATATAATTTTGACGTACTGTGGTTTGAAATAGGACTCAGTGTTTGTCAAAAAAGAGAAACAGGACGATTTTTTAATAGCTGTACATTTAACTGGCTACTTTGAATTTACTCCTTAATCTTCAAACTACTAATGAATTGTTTCAAAATGTATTTACAATATATATAAGCCATATGAACAACCATGTGGGAAACATGCCCCAAACTTAATCAGCTTTAGATAAGACTGTATCATGCCAACACATATGTGAGGGAAATGGAATTGAAAAAACTGGTAGTTTAACTATCTTGTCTGTGAGATCTTTCTACATTATCTAAAGTGATAAGAATATGTAGTGATAAAAAGTCTGTGGGAACACATGGTATATTGATAAGAATTGTTTATTGGATTGTAAATAAAAATGTTAGGATTTTGATTGAAACAAAAGTATTGACAGAAAAAGTAAATGTTAATACGAAACATTTCTGATAATTCATTTCAATACTTCCCCTTTCAAAAATGGCAATTTTTACTATGAATTCATTAAAAGAAAATCCTTCAAGAGATCAATAAATAGAAGGCCAAATTGTTTTCACAACCTATAAACTTAGAACTCAGGTGTTCATGACTCACTGCTATAGGCCTATTCAGTTGTCAAATTTTTATCCAAATTATTGTTATGATTGATTTAGAGATAAAATTTTCTTATTTTTCCTTTCATCTTTCTTTTTTTGTGTATATTGTAATAATATAAACTGAAAAAATAAGGTAGTTTCTCTAAAATCAACTATTAATTAAAATCTTTCCATAAAAGAAGGATAAGGGAACAAACTTGTTTCATTTAGAAATTGCATAGTTTTAATCTGTGTGCGTGGAAGAAATTTCAAAAACAATGAATATATTTTCTCCAATTTACAAGGAACATCACAAGTTTTATAGAAGGTTGGAACTTATCTATTGTAAAAGTGATGAGGAAATGAAAAAATTTTGGCAACCCACATCTGTCAGTGAAGTATCACTACCATTTCAAAAGGTTATTCGCTCTTCTCAAAGGGATAGACAATATGGAATATATTTCTTTGATGATGAATCAATTGTTAGATATATCATTGCTATTATCAAAAGAATCTTGAAATATGATATTGATGATATATTGAAAGCGGCTTGTTCTTTTATTGATTTTTTACTTCTTATCAGTGAAGGCATATATCTACACAATTCTTTTGCAAAGATTTTAACAGAAACGAATTTCTATGAGTACATTCAGACAACACTCGCGCATCTACTAGAATTATTTGAGAACAAGTTTCATTCACAAAGCTATTTATGCTTAGTGATTGGCTTTGTAAAATTTTAATCTTCACATATAATTCACCAATTTTGTCAGAGTTGAATCAAAATGTAAAACTGAGGTGTAAATTATTTGAAGCTTTAGAATATTTGTCAAGATGCTCTGCAAAGACTCTCAATGGGTGGACCTTAGAAGCCATGTTTTGTATGCTACTCCATTTAATTTACCCACAGGGGTATAGACTGCAAAATCTTTCTCTCCTTGTTCATTTTTTTAATAATCAAGATGACCAACATTTAAAAAACATTGATAAAGATGATTTCATGTTTGCAGCTGATTTTAAACCAATGCATGAATGTCCAACTAGGTACATTGATCCTCATTTGGTGATATATTTTCTCTACAAATATGGAACCTATTCGATTTCGCAGTTGTCAATAGAATCTGCTCTATTTGCCGTGTTAAAAATACTTGAAAATGGCAGACATTTGAAGTATCTTGATGAATTTAGCTACTGCTTTACTAATTGTCTTGGTGAAAACAGACTTGAAGCTTTCATAAAGTGTCATTTTCCATTATTACGAATTCTTCTAAAGCAGAGTGAAACTTGTACATCATCAAGAAATCTGCACAATTTATTATTCATTCTTCAAGATGAAAACTATCCTAGAAATATCCAAGAATATTTTACAGAACCAGACTCTTTTAAAAGAATCAGACATCAGCAATTGGATACAGACTATAAAGATTATAGTATGTGTCTTTTAACTCCAATCATTTGTAAACCTGAAAGATTGTTAAATAGGAAATCCAATAGTGATACTCTCGCAACTATTACAAAAGTGGCTGGTGGTGTTGCTAAAGGACTGAATACAGTATGCGAAACAATTGAAACTGTACAGAGCCTTGCTGAAGGGGTTAGTGATGATAGTGGAATAGGAAATGCTCTTGCAGAATTATTTGATGCACTTGGTAGTATTTAAACAACCATAAATGACTATCTTAAATGAGGATAAATGGCAATAGTACAACATTTTTGATTTAAAATAGCAATAACTCAAGTAAAATTTTGTTTACACAGAAAACATCCACATTTTGTTGTTGTTTTTATAACAATATCTTTTCCACATCTTTTATTGACATTTTCTTGATATTTTAATTGTTTTTATTAATTAAACACAAAAAAATTGCAATAATTTCAATCTACTTGACATTAACAAAAAAAATGCTAAGAAAATCAAGATATCCATTTGAGTGGTTTAGATTCAGGGTTAGGATTAGGATTGTTGGTTACCATTTTAGTTATTTATCTATTACAATTTGGGTAAATGAACCCTTTTATTGCTGGAAATGTCATCATTGCTGTTATCTATTTACAATATACAGGACATGTTTAGAACATATTTTAATTTAGCCACAATTTCAATGTACCAGATGTACATTTAGAATTTAGGATACAGTAAAGACTATCAATCAAATATGAATAAGGCCTTTCCTTCCTTCTTCTACCATAACAACAATCTTCCATTTAATTGACAATGAAATGAAAACAAGAAATAGATATTCTGATTTGTTTGATTATGTCAGATCTCAATGGATTGAAAATTCATTTTGGCAACATCAACAATGGTCTGTGTATTACCCTCAGAAGTAACAACTAAGTTGAAGCTTGGCATAAAAGGTAGAACAGTAAGGTCTTTGCTAAGGGCTCTTTTTACCAATTAGTAGATGATTTAAATAAGAACGCCTACCTTATTGGTATTTAAAAAACACTCTTATCTGAAAAAAAGTTGAAAAAAACACCAAAAGAAATTGCAGGTTCAGATATTCAAATTGTGGGATAATTATGATTTGGGATTAATATCAGCAATGGATCTATTGGAGAAATCATCAAACATATGTGTATCATAACCTTACATTTTACTCTCTTTATTTAAACAAGTTTCATTCTTAATATTTTCAATATAACTAATGTAGTTCATAGATCTAAACTTTGTACTTTGAATGAGTAGAACCAATTCCTACAATCACAATACTACAAAGTATAGATTGGAATGGATGATTACTGTACTTAATGCTGCATGTAGTTTATATATTAATGCAAAGGAAAAGAATTTATATGGATTTATGATGGACTAAATGACACTTTTTAGACAATACACTATGCAATACCATTTTAAAAAATTGGTGTTTACTTATAATTACAGAACAACATAAGAATATCTGATCATGAAGATTTTAATATTATTTTTTAAAGAACTGAAATACACATTTTCTTCTGGAATCTTAAACCATTTCCAAATATTTGAACAAGAGAATGGTTGCATTCCCAAAGATTATTTGATATGACTTAGGTCATTTCTAAATACAAAATTCTTAGTCATATCACATAATCTTTTGTTTTTATGAAATTATTTCACTTCTGCTAGTTTTTCTTAAACAGGAAGTTGAAAAGTAAATAATAAGGAAGAAACAAAATTCAATTTAAGGGAATGCAACCATTCTCTTGTTCAATTTTGTTCACAGCTAATCTTTCTGGGAAAGCATAAAAACATATGTAAATATAGAGAATACATTCCATTCATTTAATCATATGACTGTTTCTAAATAATAATTTTTTAAATATACTTCATAATTTGTTAAGAAATGAGCTAGTGTTATTTTTAAAGCATACAGAAAATGTGGTTAAAAGAAATAATCAGAGACACCAACAAGTTACATTTGTAACAGTTTTTTAGTATTAGGGGCATACTGAAAATTTTAGTCATTTGTGTCTTACAGCTGAAAAAAAATTGTATACTATGCAAATTAATTATTCATAAATATTTATTAATGTCTTAGGTATGTCTATTTAACTATGAATTGCCCATTATTGTCAATGAATCCTTGCCACCTGGAGGGAAGCATACCAATTCCTTTGACAGAGTATTCAGGTGGTTTCAACCTAGAGTATGCCCTTACTGCCTTTTGAAATACACATTTGCTTCAATCCATATTTAACTTAATGTCTACAATATTTTATCAAAAGTAAACATTTAGGGATTTATAATCAAATCATTTATTTAAAATTCAATATTAAAATAAAGGAAAAACATCAGAACAGGGTGCAACCCAGTGTACATTTGCACACAGGTATGTTTGCACACCAACTCATTTTTTTCAATACTATTGACAGAATTCTCTAATATGTGTCATACAATATATGACTCAAGTGCTAGAGCAGACTAGTTTGATACTACTATAACTATACTACCTATAAGAGAATAGGCATTCTGACTGCAAGAGTACAATAGGTATGTTTTCTTCAGCTCAATTATCTAATTGTCTTGATTAATCATTTTTAATGTTTGTAAAATTTTGAACACCATTTAAGAATATTCACTTCCAGAAATATTTTAGTGTAGGATTGTTCTGTAGAATTCAGTTTTCTGAAAATGAAAAGTCAATTATATGAATTTGCAAAAAATGACTAAGCATAAAATATGGTGGACAGAAAAAATGTAAAAAGAAAAACTATTAAATTTTCTTTTGTACTGTGATAAAAAAAATTACTTGAAGATCATTCAGCAGAATGGCTTCCATGCATCAGCTGCATTTTAACTATTATATTGAAAAATTTTATATCTTAATAAATTAATCATCCATGTTTGAACAATTTCATTCATTTCAAAACAGATCATACAGCCATTTTGAAACATCAGTATAAAACAAACAAAACTGAGAGCTAATTAATATACTAAATATAAGTAAATTCATAAAGAGTATAATTTATTTAAAAAACAATGAATGTCTCAAACAAAGAATTGTTGGATTCTTTCAAAATTATATGTCAGGGACTCAAATCATCTTCTAACTGTTTAAAAGAAATTATATTAAAACAATGTCATTTAAAAAATAAACAAGTTAAATGTCTAGGAGAAACATTGAAAGAGTGTTCAGCACTGGAACACATTGATTTATCAGAGAATTATAACATAGGATATGAATTTAAAGTGTTATGTGATGGACTCAGATCATCTTCAAACTCTTTGAAAAAAATTAATCTTTCACACTTTGGAGTAGTTAATAAACAAGCTAAATATCTGGGACAAACATTGAAAGACTGTCCAAAAATTGAACATATTGATTTGTCTGACAGTAAATACATGGGAAATGGATTTGAAGTAATATGTGATGGACTCAAATCATCTTCAAACACTTTGAAAATAATTAGGTTTTTTTACTGTGAATTAAATGATGAACAGGCTAAATGTCTAGGAGAAACATTTGATGAGTGTTCAACACTTGAACATATTGATTTGTCTCACAATAAACACATGGGAAGTGGGTTTAAAGTGATATCTGATGGACTCAAATCTTCTGCAAGCTCTTTGAGAACTATTTGTCTTAATGCTTGTAAATTAAATGATTTTAAAGATGTGAAAGATAGATATAGTGGAGTTTCTGATATTAGAATATTTTTTACAGACATTAATTAAAGATATTTAATGTTTGTGCATACTTAAAAAAATGTCATTTTTATATATAGATTTTTGATAGCAGACAACTATTATTCTATTTTTTTCTTATATTATACTATTATCTATAACTTACTAAAAACCTATGCTATGGAATGCAATAACATTTGGCCTAACACAGACTTTGGTTTGTCATACTTAAGCAGCCAAACTATGATTAATTAGCTTTCTCAAGTGTGCAACTTTGTAACATATTGTTCTAAGGACAAACATGAACTAGGTGGGTTTGAACCAACATCCACTAGGACTTTTCTACTTCCTTAACATTGGACACTAGTTTGGTTGGTTGACAACATACTATTGTCCACTATCTACCCTGCTATTCAACTTTCATATTGTTACTTGCTTAGGTATTATGTCTTGAATAAAGTACTTCAATTTAAACACTTTGTTTAAAGGTTTGAGTAGAACCAGTACTGGTATAAGTTATAAATGCATAAATTGGCAAGACCAGAGCAGTACAATAGACATACCTAAGACATTAATAGATATTTATAAATAAGCATATTATATAATAATTTTTTTAGCTGTAAGAGAGAAATGATTAAAGCTTTCTGTATGTCCCCTAATATAATAGCTGTTATGGAAAATGTTTACAAAACTTTGCTTTTATCCTAACCCTTGGGCTTGCCCAACCATTCTGAATAGTGCTAACCCTCAGATAGTATTTCCTAAGTATAAATCAATGGCTATCTCTTCCCCCTAACCATTTTTCAAGCCAAAATCTAATCTGGATGTTTTCCATCAACCCCTAGTTTTCTCTAGATGATCCAGATCACCTGCTAACATGGCAGTTAGACCACAGACCAAGAGTCTCTGGAAATAGACTTCCTGTTGGTGTTGGTGAAGGAGTGATGATATTGGGATTTGCCAATTGTATGAGTGGTTTGTCAATTGAAATATCAGGAATCTCTGGTATTGTAACCCTTAACTGATTGGCAAATTCATTGCACAAAGCCCTAAGAGTATTCTTGTTTTTAGAGGAAAGCTTATCTTAATCTTTGTTGGTTGATCATGTGTAGATTCCATATTATTCTAATTGATATTTCTTAGTACACAAAAATAAGATGGGCTTCCTCTAATGAGGTTCTTAAGGAAGGAGAGAACACAACAAAATTCTTCATTCTCATAGAGTCATGTTTGTACAGAGAGCAAACCCACCAAGGAAAAAGAAACCAGGCATGAGCAAATGAGTGCAAAGAGTGAGAAGCCCACCTTTGTTCTTTAGTACTCTTTTCCAGCAAATTTGTACCCAGGCGCCACCAGAGAATGGTGTTTGAATTGATTTACATGTCTAGGTTTCTTATTTGCTGTTGCTGGAAAGCTTATATCTACATATAATTATTAATGATGAATATATGAAGAGGATTATTGAGATGAGGCTCTGTTATTAAGACCTTTTTTTTCCTATTTCACCTTTTTATCCAAGCCTTTTGTCGAGTCTACTTCTTCTGAGATTTATGTAATCTTAAATTTATTCACCATATTCTGTTCAGGGAGTGGAAAATTAAATAAAACCTTTTCCCAGAAATGGTCAGGGCCTGTGTCCAATCAATTTCCATTGGTTTTTGTTTATTTTTTATTAGTTATCTCCTTCTGCTTGAGTTTCTCCACAGTTTTTTTTTACAATTCCATGATTTTCATATTAGCCTCCTATGTGTTGAGTTCTGGATGTCTGGGGCTGAGGAGTTGGTTGAGCACTATGAGCTACAGGTAGTTAATGTAGCTCTATGAGCTTTAGTTTAGTTCCTTTATAGCTAAGGAGTTGGTATAGCTTCAAAAACTTTGTTACAGAATCTTGGACTTTGCTTTATGAGTTTTCCTGAAGCTCATATTCTGCCATTAATTGTTCCCTATAAATGTTGCAAAAATTCAAGTTATTCTACTCCCTAAGTTTGGCTTATAAGAACTTCACTCTATAATTAAACATTGTCTTACCCACCTGAGTGATCTTATCCAAACCTCCAAGTAAGGACTTTCTAGTTGTTCTATTAAGTATGGAGTTCTTTGTAAGGTTCTTAAGGGAGCTATAATTTAACCTCTTAATGAGTTATTGTTATGTAGGGTATGAATTCCTTTCCTGTGAATTCTCTTCAAAGAGAAAGTTTGCTGTAATTTCATTAGTTTTGCATCTAATGATTTTCTAAAAAATGCATTGCCTTTTTTATGCAAGGGAATACAATAACCTGTTATTGTTTACACCACTATTGCATAATATGATAACCCTTGACCCTGTTTGTTGTGAACAATCCTTATCTGGGGATTTGACTCAGGGTTAGGCATAAACATAGATAGTAAGCCTTCACCTTTCTATGTTCATTATATTTAAATGGTTAAGCCTATTTAATAGACAATTCTATTATTTTAACAACTTATAAATTAATGTTTACAATTTACAATAAATAATTGTCCCAATCAACTTTCATTCTTAAAAAGTCTTGATGTAAACAACTTCTAAGTGCACTCTGTCAACACATTGCCAGTATTTTCTAAATAAGATGTGTATTGAATATTTAAACCTTTTATCTCTAAGCAAGAGGCTAGAAAACTAGGCTAACAACTGTTCAATTTGTAGGATTTTATACTTTTGTAAGAGTTGAACAGTTCACAATTTTAAAGTAAAATTTAACAGAATTGAAAGTTCTGAAAATGTTTCAGTGTTGGGTTGGTTTCATTCATCCTGAATAATAATGTAAGATAATTTTGAACATATGGATATTTCCATTTCTTTCCAGTTCTGTTTTTGGCATTATTCATTGAGCAAAGTTTGTGCTTGCCTCATTATTTCATTGAGAATTAATTATTGGACTAAATTTCTTATAAGTGATTCCAGTATTATTTAGGGTATACTTTCTTTACCAAGATGATGTGCTATTGTACAGTTTTCTGTGATTTGGTTAAAGTTCTTGACAATATCATTTGCTGGTGAAAGGGAATGCGTATACCAACTAGTTTTGATTTTAAATTCCACTTTAAAAGTATTTCTTTATATTGAAACTGAGATTAGACTACTGTGTCATGTTCACTTAATATTGTCTGCTGTTCCACTGGTATTATTATCACAAATCTTGAACAGAATCTTTATCTATGACTGAATATTAAATAACAACTTGACCCAGATGCAATTTCATCCAGGTACAATTTCAGGTACCACTTAAGTTTTGGCCACATTATATTATTGATGAGCTTGTCTAAGGTTTTGGCCAAACTATGATTAATTAACTTTCTCAAGTGGGGAACTTTGTAACATATTGTTCTAAGGACAAACATGAACTAGGTGAGTTCACAGCTGTAAAGTGGTGATTGGATGCTAGACAATAATCTTCAAGTATATAACTCCTCACTGCTTTACTCCAATGGGCTATCCTCAACCTGGGAGGATGAACTGGAACCAACACCCACTGGGATCTTTCTACTTCCTCAACATTGGACACTAGTTTGGAAACTTGGCAACCTACTGTTACCCACTACTTACTCTGCTATTGAACCTTCATATTGTTACTTGCTTAAGTATTATTTTCAATAAACCACTTTAATTGAAACACTTTGTTTAAAGGTTCGAGTAGAACCAGTACTGTTATAAGTTGCAAACGCATAAATTGGCAAGACCAAAGCAGTACACTATGAAGGGAAAATGTTGAGAAAAATGATGTGTTTACCTTTCCTACCTGGCAGTATGATTAAAAAACATTTTAGATGAATGAAAAGTGTACACATTTAGTCATTATCATTCACCATATGCACACACTTACCAGCGAGAGCACAATTATTATAATCAATTGGGGGTATATTAGAACAGCAAATATGCTGACATTTGTCTATTTTTGTGATTTGGTAGAAATCCAACTTCTACCAAAATTGTTACATCTTATGCAAAAGTAACAAATATGGAACCATATTTAGGCTTTTCTTTTATCCAAAATGATACATTTGTTTGTAAATATTTGTGATTTGTGAACTGTCAACTATTGGAAGATACAGCAACTTTTTGTTTTTTAGCATTGAAGCAATCAACACAATAATCATTATCTGACATAAAAACATATATGTCTCACTCCAAATTGTCCCTACATCAAGTATAAGAAGTACATGGTCTGATGTTGGTTACAATCAATATGTAGAAAAATTCAGGTTGTAACCTCTTTGAAAATTAATAAAATAGTTTAACAGATTTTCTTCTTCTTTTAGGATCTTGGATATAGTGCAGAATTTAAGAAAAGAGAAGGAGAATGGAAATCCATGAAAATGATATTTGGTCTGCCCTACTTTCCTCATACTTTTATTGAAATTTGATTCAACAAAACTTGAATATTTACCGGAATACATTCAAATTAACTGGATTAAAAGTAGCTTTTGGCCTCCAGAGACTTGGTCTGTTTTTGACCAGAAAATAAGAACTAATAATTATCTGGAAGGTTACCACAACAGATTGAATAAAAACAGATGGTAACTTATCATTTTATATGACTGTTGAACTGAAGAGAGGGTGACTTAATTTCTGTGTATCAGAAACTATTAAATGAGAGGAAAATATTGAGAATCAAGAAAAAAAACCTACACAAGAATTCAAAAAGAGCTATTGTCTATATGGGAAAACTTCAAAGCTTGTGGGATAACTTCAACTCAACTTGTTGAAATGTGTTTTGAGTTGTACTATTGACTATTGCTTTTTTATTAAAAATTGCTTTTCAGCTGATGAATGTAGTCAAGACATTTTAAAGGCATCTTTATTATTAAGATGAGTAGTATTTACCTCTTCAGTAGATAAACAAAAATATTCAATTAAATTTAAGAGTTGTGGGAATGTCTATGACATTCTGTTCATGTTTGTAAATGTTTCAATTATGATTATCTTTATCACATTGTTGAAGATTGTCAAGTGTTTAATGGTTTTACAAAAGTTCTCTAACACCTTTATCTCCATGTAGAAATTTGTCTAAAAAATAGAGAAACGGTGTTTTTTTAAAGTAAAGTCAGTGAAATGGAAGAAAACACATAAAGCTAAAAGTTTGCGGTTTTGACACATCAAATTGTATTTGTCAACAATTGCCAAACAAAACTATTCAAAGTTCATTGGTATTTGATAATAAAAATAACAATTCTCATTTAAATACTACAGAAATATATGATTTTGGTATTGATTTTTGTCGATTGCGTAATCAGTTTAAATAGTTATGCAATCAAAAATTGTTTTAGTAAGATGACTAAATGCTTATCTATACTGATTTTTATTGATCTATCCATAAAAGTTTTATTGGATGGTCCATATTTTAAATAAATGTTACTGTACTGTGGAGATTGGCTTGAGTTGGATGATTTGGCGATAATTGACATATGTAGTAAAACATGCAGACCTAAAGACTCAGAGTAGTGTTTGTTAATTAGAATTAGTTAATTAGTAATTTGTCTCATTGAGACTTAGATTACAGCTATTATATTGTATTTTAGAGATATCCATACTTTGTTAAGGCTATCAAACACTTCTTTGAGAACATTGATCTGGACCAATGATTAATGCATAAATATGTATAGGCCTATCTTGTTTTTAACAGCATGGACCAGACTATCTATTTCTAAATCTCCTAATTTGTCACATTATCCTTTCGCCAATAAAATTTCTCCACCTACCGTCGAGTTCTTTTTGTAAAAAGAAAAGGCAAAATTATCAATTTGAAGATATTTTCTTCATTTATCAATAATTTTCTCAATCTAATCCCCATCACATAGAAAACTTGTCTTCATTAATAAACCTGCTGACCTTTTGTTTTTAGGATATTTCTAATTCGATATTTTGTTAAATTTGTATCAGCTATTTTTAAAGTGATTTTTCCAGTTTTGTTTTATTTAAAAATTGAAACAGTCAGCTAGAAAATATGTTGATATGTCCTATCTTTTTCTTATCTTACTGATTAAAAAAGTTTACTATCGTATTTCTTGATTATTCAGGACTTTCTAAATTACGTATATATACGTGTGTGTCTGGTGTCTGTGTCTGTGTTTTTGAACTAATGTTTTTGAAATGAAATTAACTTTTTATTGTTTACTTTTAGTAATTTCTTTATTGGAAAGGACAAACTCAAATTTTGTTTGTCCTATTGGTTCGGATGAAAAACCAATTAATGGCGTATTTAGACATCCTACAATTTGTAGTGTTTACTATCATTGTTACAATGGTGTAGCTTATGGTCAACAATGTCCTCCTGGTCTACATTTTAAGATTGTTATTACTGAATGTCAATATTTTGCTTGTGTACAACCAAGTGAATCGAAATGTTCTTTGAAAAAGAACCAATTGAACAAAATCAATATTTTGAAAAATTCCTCCCTAAAAACCATACTTAATGGGAAAGCAGTTGGTGCAAAAGTTGGCGAATGCCATCCAAATTTGAACAGTACTGTCCCTAGTTCTACTGAGCCTAGTTTTTACTACAACTGCTTGAATGGTTATGGTTGGGTACAACAATGTCCTCCTCTCACAAAATTCAATCCAATTTATGACTTTGAAAAGTGTTCGAATGAAATGTGCAGGTCGTCTGATGGTGGATCGCAACCTATTGATGGTGGATGGAATAATTGGTCAGATTGGAGCGAGTGTAGTCAGTTGTGTGGAGTTGGGAATAGAACAAGAACACGAATGTGTAATAATCCTCCTCCATCGAATGGTGGAAAAGACTGTAAAGGTCAATCAATACAAACGGAATTATGCTCATCCAATCCTTGTCCAGTGGCAGGAAATCCTGCTTTTATGGTATCATTAAAGGAAACTACAACACTCAATGAGGGCTATTTTAATTGGACAGTGGTAAATTTGAATTCTGGGGGAATGTTTGACCCAAATACAAACAGAATAACAATAAATAAACCTGGATTTTATTTCTTTTCAATGATTATAACTTCATCAAAACTGAAACCAATAGACGTGAGAATAAGAAATTCTGGACTTTCATTGGGAATTTTACGTAAAGCATTACCATCATATGGTCCAGAAACATTTTCAAGGAATGGAATTTTTGAATTGGCTAATGCTGCTCAACCAGTTCTATCAACTGGAATTACAACAGATGTTTACAGTAGTGAAGAAGGTAAAGAAACATCTTTCCTTGGTTTCCACTATGATACAAGTAATTATTTATATTGTACTAGTCGTACAAGAATTAATAAGCCAAAAATACCATGGCCCATTATATCGGCAATGAAAGGATTCACTGAAAAGAGTGATCTAACTGAATTTAGAGCATCGAATGGTGGATGGTATTTGGTTTCTATGGGTATGAAAGCGGGTTTTAGCGGTACTGGTCTAGTTGATTCGACAAAATTAATTCTTGAAATTTCAAAAAACAATGTTGTACAACAAACGCACAAATTTCTAGAGATAAATATTAGAAGGCAACAAGTAACTGATCAATTTTCAAGGAGTTCCCTTATTCACGTCAATACTGGAGATGTTTTTATATCAAGAACTGGTACTAGAAACAAAACACCTGTGTCTAGCTCACACTATGAAACCTATCTAAGTGCTTTTAGACTAAATACTAGTTTGCCTCGTTTTATGGCTTCGGGTAAACTACAAACTTGTGACGAATTTATAAATATACGTTTCCCAGAGATAAACGTTGATTCAACAGATTCGTGGGATATAACAAGGAATCAATATTTGGTTAAAAAATCTGGCATGTACTATATTGAATTTTCTTTTGTACCAAGACCAAGAGAAACTTTAGATATAAGAATGTATCTAAATGGAAAAATGATTGCTATAACAAAAAAACAGGCTAGACATGACAGAGGTTACGTAATAACAAGATCTATTTTATTAAGTCTAGAGGAAGGTGACATTTTGTATTGGAGAAATTATGGTTGTCTTTACAACTCTTACAATTTCTCTTCAGTAATAGTCATATCTACATCTCTGAGCCAATGAAAATTCAGAATGACAACTTTTTCACTTATGATTGATTGATTGATTGAAATATCTTTAAAATATACTTTTTATATCTTTGTCACTTTCAGCATAGATCAGAATTTTTATATTTTTTTTTTATTCTTTGACTATTCGGTTTGTCATAGAATTTTACAAATATTCTTGAATGTAGTCCTACCCTTAACATATCCCAAAATCTGACCATTTGTTGACATTTCCCATTCAGATATTCTTACTGTAGTGAAATAAATTTTGGATGGGGAAATTGTACAGATTTTTCTCCTCAAATCCTAACCTTGACCCTATGTTTCTTACCCAACATTTTGCAGTTTGACTTGATCCTTTGGAAAAATAGTCTTCTTACATTTAAATAGTTGTATTAATGAGGATTTTAGTATTGAATTAGTGAGAATTTATATAATTGGATCCAAAATTGTATGTAGAATCATTGTTGACCTGTAATATGCTGCAATTTTGAGTAGATTGAAATCAAAATGTAACAAAAAACATGGCTCCACAAGTTGATAAAAATATCCATATCATAACCATAAATGATAATTGGCTTAGAGTTACTGTTGAAGATTTTGAAATTGTTTTTATCCTATTTGTTTGAATTTCAATATCATTTGCATGTTTTGTTGCAATAATTATGATATTTACATGTAAAATTAATGCTCCAATTAGATGAATAGAAAAAAAGTAAGATAAATAAAGTAATTTAGATATTTAAACCTATAATGACCTTGACATATGACTGTATCACATTCTTTATTGGCATATATATGATGGAAAATAGCATTCAATAAATGAGATAATGATAGTGACAATGATAATAAGAAATGATCTATGAGATTTTAAATATATTTGAAGAAGAAACATAAGTGAAGAAGAAAAAACAGCATTTGTTTAAGTCAGAGAGGAAAGGACATTTTATTATATGATGAGCTTGCATTCACTAAAATGATCCTCTTTTTGAGATAAATGCTGATTTTCTTCAGAGGGATATCATATTTGGGAAAGAGAGATTTATCATATTTGCCTCAGAGCAGCAATGTAAGATATTAGGTAAAAGCAAATTTGGTATCTTGATGGCACATTTAAAGTTGTGAAGCAATCATTTATTCAACTTTTTTCCATCCATTCATTTATTAAAAAAGATGATGAAGCCAAACAGATTCCTTTGGCATTCATTTTTATGACTTCAAAAAAGAAGGAAGGATATAAACATGTACTAAACGTGAGTCATACAATATTTAATCTGACTTTATAACTTGAACATATTTTGCAGGAAATTCAAACAATCACAAACTTTTGTTACCCTAAAAAGTTTTTTGCTGATTTTGAGTCAGGATTATGGACTGCATTATCATCTATATACCCAGATGTATCAATCCAAAGATGTGTGTTCCATTGGACACAAGCTGTTTTCAGAAAAATACAAGTATGCTTGTAGAATTGTTTCTACTTTTAGAATTTGGGATATGTAGCTGACTATAAAACCAAGAAAGATACAAACTATGATGAGAAAATTATTAGCCCTACCTTTTCTTCCATCTCAAGTGATTCCACCTACTTTTTCCACCTTAAAAAGAGAAGTTCTGGAGAAAAATGTGTACAGAGATTTAAATGCGTACATTGAAAAAACTTGGATTACAAGAGGGAACTTTATCACTATCATTGTTGATCCTAGCTTCCTTTGCTATGGCTATATGCTAAGAGAGAAATGTATTGGTGAAAACTTTTATTGACTGAGAATATTATTGTATTTGCAACCATCTGTGATAAACTACAACACTAACTGGTCTAAAATATACACCACCTTTTTCATATCTATCATCTTATCAGTTCAATAATATATCAAACTGAGTGGTCATTCATGCCATTTTTTTCAATTCTAGAAAGGTATTAAAAGCTCATTATTATGAATGAATATTCATGAGATAAAGATTTTGAAATAGGGAAATTCCAAATTAAGTTACAACAAATAGACATTTAGTCCAGTAGAAACAATTTCAGATACTATAGTAAGGTTGTGACATGCCAGTCGGATTTCTGATACTCTGAAATATGAAATACATTTTGAAAAGTTGAAAATAAGTTGCTCATAATTATACCTTAAATGCCTTTTTATAGCTTTTTCTTTTTTTTGATGTCATATAGATAAATGCTATGGGAGCATGTTTCATTTCTCCATCTTATTTTACATAGCTGTGTATAGATAAGAGCTGATAAAATGGAGCCTTCACAATCTTGAATGTTCCATCAATAAACCAGTGATTTGATTTACCAAGCAAATTAATTTTGTGGCTGCTAGCTAAAATAAGAATTTTTTCTGTATTTTCATAGACATCAACTTGCAAAAAATCATCTGGAATCTTTATTTTAATCAAAGTCCACTTCTTTTGTTCTTTGGGCCTTAGTTTTTGCCTTGTGAAATTAGCAACTCTTTTCAGATAATCAACATTTGGCACAGAATCTGTATGATTGCTGTGCTTTAACAGAATTGTTTCAGCTAATCTCTTTCCACTTGAACTTGTGTCACTTTTACACATTTCTTTCAAATCTTTTCTAATTCTGATGTCTGGTTAGATGGTCATTTTGGGACTGGTAGAAAATGGCCAGGATTGAAAACGGCCATTGGCTTGATTGAAAATGGCCAAAGACTTATTTGTATATAGAAAATGATAAACATAATAATATTATTAAATAATTAACATATTTATGATTGCATGATTTAAATGATTTTTTATGGGTTTGAGTGATAATATCAGTAGTAAATAAATTTATCAGTTTCTTTTTTTGGATAGTGTATATTTCACTGATTTTGAAACTTTCTCTTTGAAACCATTAGGTAATATTCATAAATTTGATAATTTAAACATGTATTATAGCACAATTACTGTGTGATTTATGTTACAATTACAAACATCTTTCTTTATCCTTGTTTTCAGTTTTTTTTCAGAAAATTTTGGATTGCTTTTTCATAGAAAGGGGTTTTGTTTTATGAGAGCACTTTTGAAATGGCTCCTTGTTGCTTTTGTTGCCAAAAGAAAATATATAGAAATTATGGATCCATATGCACTCTAAGCCAGAAAAAATTTCATTTGAAATGTCTAAAAGGTAACACTTCATTATTATTTTTGATTAAGTTTTAAAGTTATTGTTTTAGATGGTTTTTGCTCAATGTGTACAACAATCAACAAATGCCAATTAAAAGTAATTTTGAACAAATATGATAACATTTCCATACTTCTTCAACAATCAGAAACTGAAGGTAACAATCCAATGGAAGTGGACAGCCAAGCTTCAACTCCTGATGAAATAATGGAAGAGAATAGCATGACAGAAGCTGTTGTTACCACATTTCAATTGGAAGGAGAATTGCTAACAAGTTATTGTGAGGCCCTGCATACTGCTCCAGAGAACAAAAATATCATGGAAGTTGATCATGAAGAAGAGTGCATGACAACTGAAATCATACAAGAAGATAATATTAATGTAGTTGATGCCCAAAATCAAATAGAAAGCTCTTTTGAAGACATAATGGATGAGGCTAACTTAGATGAGCATTTGGAATTTTCAAAGAATGGGAGCCAAAAAGGAAAACCATTAATGGTTCATAATGGTTATTCATATACTATAAAAGGACATGGAGAACACTTTAGAATATGGAGATGCAGTGTGAGAAATCAAAACAAAAAATGTCCTGCAAGCATAAATGAATATAAAGGTAATTGTCAAATTGGCTCTAAGCAGCACATTCATCCTTCAACAGCAAATTTGGAAAAGATCATAGAAATGAACATTAAAATAAGAGAAAGAGCAAATAAAGATTTAAATGTCAGCAGCAAAAGAATAGTTGAAGATTCTTACCTGGAAAATGAAAATGTGTCCAATTTTCCAAAGATGTCAACATCAAAAGCAATTGTTAACTATCAAAGGAGAAAAAACAGGCCAAAGGAATCTGAATCAATAGCTTTTCTGATCAATTTTACATTTATTCCAAATGGATTTTTCAGAGAGGATATTCACAAAAAAGATGAAAGAATAATAATTTTTGCAACTGATCACCAACTTCAACTTCTGGCTTCTTCTAAGATGTGGTTTTTAGATGGAACTTTTAAAGTTGTAAATCCTCCATTCAAACAGCTGTTTTCCATTCACTCATTTCTAAAAAGAGATGGTGTTTTGAAATAAGTTCCTCTTCTTTTTGCAATGACATCATCAAAAAAGAAAATCTGTTATCCCCTTTTATTTAAGGTATATTATTAATATTTTTACCAAAGTCTACAAATATTTCTGCAGGCTATAAAAAATTGATTGCTGAAAAATCACCAAAGAAAGTATTGGTAGATTTTGAAAGAGCCATTTGAAAGAATTTACAAAGCATTTTCGAGATTCTGAAGTAAAAGGCTGTTTATTTCATTGGACTCAGGCAGTTTTCAGAAAGATTCAAGTACAAATTCATTTTGTGTTGAATATTTTCTTTAAAACTAATTTTCTTTTTGTTTTCATATGAATTGGGTTATTCTGGTGAATATAAAAACCACTTTGGGCAATGGATTGAAATGCAAAAGCTATTGGCTTTACCATTCCTACCTGCTGATGTTATTTCAAATGAATTTTTTTAGATAAAACAACATTTGAAAGCAACTGAGAAGTTGCAGGACCTAATAACTTATATTGAGGATACTTGGATTGAAGATAGCATGTGGACACCCTCTTCTTGGTCAGCCTATGAATCTCCAATCAGGATAAATAATGATGTTGAGGGATTCCACAATAGGCTAAATATAAATGTTGGCAATTCTAAATCTTTCTACAATCTGATAGATGAACTAAAAAGAGAGGCTGATCTCATTCCAATTTATCAACAAATGCTTTCAGAAAAGAAATTAAAGAGGTTACAGAAAAAAATCTATTTAAACATACAAAAGGAAATATTTGAAACTTGGGAGAAATTTAAAAATGGTGAAATAACAGCTGCTGAGATTTTAGAAAAATGTTCTAAAATATATTTTTCACATTAGATGCATGTTATTCTTTTAGTCCAAGTAGTTACTTTTAGTGCTTTATTTTTAGTATGGTGCTTTTCATGTTGTTTTAGTAAATAAATCACTTCTGACTATTATTATCATTTCAAGTTTCCAATATTTGTTTAACATCTATATCATACTTATCATTTTCTTTATACAAATAAGTCTTTGGCCGTTTTCAATCAAACCTCTGGCCATTTTCAATCAAGCCTCTGGCTGTTTTCAATCCTGGCTGTTTTCTACCATATTCATCATTTTTACCATGAATGTGTTCTAACTTTTCCTTTATAAATATTTTCCCCTGCTGGTGTATTCTTGCAGTTGTTTTTTGGTCCTTTTACTACAAACCCAAATGTTGCTTTTAGAAGTTTTAGCTTTCAATGTAAATGAAAATCTGTCATTGATTAGAATGTCTTTTCCCAACTGAATTCCACCTTTAATTGCTTGAAAGTTGTCATTCACATTTGCATGTTCATTCAGATTTACATGTATGACATCCTCATTTATATGTTCTTCCATTTCTTTTTCATTCATGTTGCAGCTATCATAATTTCCATCATCATCAAACTCTGGTTCATTTGAAAGACTATCATTCAACTCAATTAGACTTTCTGCATTTTGATGTTCATGTTTAATTGAATTTTTCAGTTTTCCATCCACATCACCAGTTTCTATGCCTTCAGGTCTGATGGTCTGAAGGAGGCACTTTCCCTTTTCACAATCCAGACAAACAGACACCTTAGAATATGAATGAAATAGCTGAATAATTATAATAATCATATGGATTATATAATGATACTTATGATGC